CCCAGCCCCTGGTAACCACTAATAAACTTTTGTTTCCATACATTTTATTAAGAACTTTCTAATATAAATTCTGATACATGCTTATGAAGAAAAAGTGAAAATACAGAAAAGTCCAAAACAGATTAAAAATCATTTAAGTCCCATCACTCAGATGCAATGAGTGCTAACATTTTATGGCTCTTCCTTCCAGGAATTTTTCCTATAGATACATTCACTGCCGTCGAGTCGGATCCGACTCATGGTGACCCCTCCTTGGGTTCCGAGGAGGTATCTCTACAGAAGTAGATTGCCCAACCTTCCTTCCTCCTATAGATATAAGTATGTATTTATGGTGTTTTGATCCTATTGCGTATAGTTTCAATGTTTCCTTTCATCAAGTCCTAGCCATCATTTGACTGGAATGATTCAATAACATGGTTCAATAGATTTCTTTTTCTACTTAAGCCAGTATGATTACTTGTGTTGGAAATAATCAGTTGTATAAAATGAATGGTCTTTTATAAATTAACATTTCTACTATATCCTTTTGTAATTTCTAAATTTATCTTTTTCTCCCTTAAGTAGATTTGCTAGAGGGAATTATCTATTTTACTCAAAACTTTAAAAATCAACCATACTTTTTTTTTTCTCCCAAACATGGTTTTACCAATATCAGTTCTTTCCCTGTTATTCCCTCTTATTGCTGGTCTCCCCCTTTCCCTTCAGGAAACTAAGCAGAATGCTAAATCACTAATGAAAGTCTTTAAATAAATTTATGTCTAAACAGAACTTTGATAACTTCATTAAAAAATTCAGTATTTTTCATTTCTGTCATTATTTTCCTAGTATTTTATGTATTTTTACTTCATTACCAACCCAGTGATCACTTAGGAAGGTTTTTTAATTTCTAGCTAAATGATAAAAGCAAAAACAAAAAAAAAACAATTTCTATGCTTACAAATATACCTGTTTCCTTGTGGCCTGGAAGTTTGAAATGAAAATTTATCTTATTTTCAATTATTCATTAATAAATGTTCAAATGACAACTACACATAAGCCCTGGTTCATTTTTTGGACATCTCTCATTTTTAACTTTTCCTTTGTGAAAATATGTTTAGTCAAATCTGAAAATCCCCTTGATGAAATCTGAACATATTTATTTATTGTCTTAAGTAATATTTCACTTTAGCATCATGTTACATTAAGTTTTGCTTTGTGCTTTGTATTTCCTTTCCTTTGGTTATAGTGTGCTTTCATCTCCTGTAGTGACACAGAAGGTGGGACTTGTTGTTGTTGTTGTTATTGTGCCGTCGAGTCGGCCCGACTCATAGCAACGCCTCCTTGGGTTTCCGAGGCAGTATCACTACGGAAGTAGGATTGCCCAACCTTCCTTCTGTTTCTAATTCCACCAGTTGAATTAAGGAGCATTGGACGCATATCCCCGTTCTTAACCTTTGCTTCGTCTGTTCTCATCCTCTTCCGTTTCTTGATCTTTGTTAATAATATGAGAACTAGAAACCCAGCTTATTATTGAATGACTATATTTAAAATTATATACCTTGTACTAAGAACACATTCTGGATTTTATATTCAATTTCAATTTGGTATTCATATTTACAAAAACCACTGATACTTACTGGTGTTGATGTCTATCACCAGATTTTTATCAGTTTCTCTTAATTCTTAAATTCAGTTTTAATAATTAGATAACACACTCACATGGTTCAAAAACCAGTATACAGTAAAGTTCTCCTTTCACTCTGTCCCTCATTTGCCCAGTCCCCAGCAGCTACCTCCCCTCTGAACGCTGCCTTTATAAACCTTCATTTCTTACCCATCCTTTTTTCTAGAGTTTCTTTATGTGAATATCATCAAACATTTATTTATCTTTTTCTCCAAAGGTAGCCCACTATGCACACATTTCTGCACCTTCTTTTTTTTCACTTAAGGGGATTTTTATTTACTCTTACCAATCTAAAACTATCTGATTTCTTTGAACATGAATAATTTTATAGGGCTCAATTTTTTTCTTGAGAATTATACATATTGCATTACTCTTTTCAATGTTTAGTGCTATACAAAACAAGTTCTTAAGCTGTACCCTGTTCTTTTTTTCTACCTAAATCATTGTAACACTTTTTCTTTCTTTGAAATTCGAGATGCCTAAGTAGAGGGTTCTTTTAAGTTGCTAAAACTTAAATAAATTAAAATTTAAAATGTGAGAAATTAATACCTGAATAATGTAAACAATCCAAACAGTACAAAAGGATACTGTGCAAAAGCAAAAGTCCCTCTCTTCAAAGGCGGTCCCTATTCATAGTCTCTGACACAGCCTTTCAATGATAATCTAAGCCAGTGGTTCTCAAAGTGTGGCCCATGGAACCCTGGGGATCCCAAGACCCTTTCAAGTAGCCTGCCAGGTCAAGATGATTTTCATAATACTAAGATGATATTTGTCTCTTCTTTTCCTTTCCATCTTTCTTCCTCTTTTTTTTTCAAAACTGTGGTTTGGGTGAAAGTTTACAGAGCAAATTAGTTTCCCGGTCAACAATTCATACACATTTTGTTTTTGTCTATAGGCCACACTCTTGGAGGTTCTACTAATCCCTATCAGACCAGTAAGCCTGGTCTTTTTTTATGATTTTGAAGGTATTTGCCTTTTTGCTATATGTACTTATATTTGCTTGTTGGTACCTTAGCGTGACTCAAGGCAGCAGCACCAAACTATGCTAACTACATTCTCCAGTGCCAGGGTCACAGTTCAAAACAAAACAAGACTATTTCACTTACACTGTCCTTGCTGAAGGAGTGAAAATTATGAATTTTATTAAATCTCTTGACCCTTAAGTACACTTTTAATATTCTGTGTGACAAAAATAGGAAGTATTCATAAAGCATTTCTGTTCTAGACCAAAGTATTATGGCTATCTCTAGAAAAAGTACTTGCGTAATTGAGTTATAAGGCAAACTAGCTACTCTCTTTATAGGACCATATTAGCTTGAAAGAATGGCTGGTAGACAAACTATGGTTATCCAGACTTGGGTATCTGACAGCATTTTCTCAAAGAGGAACAAAGTGAGGATGGCACTTCAAGGAAAACTGACAGTATTTGTTGCCAATGATAAAAGTGGTGCTTTCAAGTGAAAATTAAAATTTTGGAAAGATGTGCATTCATTACCATAAACTCAACAGCTCAATAATCCTTATAGCCTTTTTGAATGAGGTCATGATATCAACTAATGTGATCCATTTCACTATATAATGAAATGAGACAAGAGCTGGAAGAGGAAGGAGCTGCACAACTCAGGCAATCAACAGTTTCCAAACAACCAATGTACAATGTTATAAAACTTTGAATAGGCAAAAGATTCAATCAAAATGCAAGATGGACCAAGGGGTGTTAGTGGAACAGAGTACAAAATGTTCACCGACATGGTTTCACAGAGTCTGCTTGCTGAGTTTTGATGTAACTACACATAATTACCTGAAAAATCCATTGAAACATTCTGCCTCATCTGACCATATCTGTGTGTGGTCAGACTTTCTTCATATACTTCAACCAAACAATATATGGCAACAGATGAATGCAGAAGCAGATAGGAGAATCCAGCTCTTTTACAGATTTTTTTTGGGGGAGGGGGGTATAGCATAAGGTGTTTATTAAGGAGTTCTGGTGGTGTAGTGCATAAGGCATTTGGCTGCTAACCATAAGGTCACTGGTTCAAACCCACCAGCTGCTCCACAGAAGGAAGATGAGGCAATCTACTTCTGTCAAGATTTACAGCCTTGGAAACTCAATGGGGATTGCTATGAGTTAGAATCGACTTGATGGCAGTGGGTTTTTGAAGGTGTATTAGACACCACACTCTGTGAAGAGAAGCTGGAGAGGCAGAATTGGCAGTTGAAGAAGTCTCAGCGCACAATGCAGATGCCATAAACCTCAGCAAATATGGCAGGGTACTCTGGAGACAGTATTGCCTGTCAAGAGTTTCTCTCTTTGGGCCAAACTGGCCAGGCATTTATCTCCTTGCCTCTCAGTCATCAGACGCAGGTGTCCCTGGAAGGGTGTGATCTCAGGTGAGCCCTTTCTAGCAGCTGAGGTAGACTCTGAAGGGGCTGAGGGGCTAACGACCATCTGCTGACTGTGCTTTTTCACAGATTTGCAAATATGTAAGCAGATGCTATTCTTCTAATTTCTTTTTTTGGGGAAAATACTTATTTTTCATAAAAATAAGATGTTTTGGGTTTGATACTGCATTTTTAACAAAATTAATGAAACTTCATAAATTTCTCAGTTTTAATTTCTAATAGGGCAAATATGAGAAAAACTTTTGGGTTCTCAACAACTTTTATAAGTGTAAATAATTACTGAGAACAAAAACTGTGAACACTGCTGATCTAAACACATGTATAAGCTTGTGAATATACCCAGCCTGATGCTGGGCCTGCTACTCTGAAGCTCCCAGAATGCATTGCTCCCAACATTTCTCTGGTTCCTACCCTGTTTACCATGCTTTTCCTTTGGAGACTATGCATTCTAGAAGGCAACATATCTCAGCCTATCTACTTTTATTTCCTGTCATGATACATGCTGAAGTTGCCTGTGAATTACTGTAGAGGGCAGCTCAGTACAGTCCCCTGGTTCTGAAACATTTTCTGCACAGTTCACACAAGGCTACATATGACCTGGAGTTAAGTTTGGAAAGACAGCATTAGAAATCTCTT